TTCAGGGATGTTTTAGTCACTGCTGAGCAGCCCTTACACAGAGTCAAGGCTTTTTCTGCTCCTCACCCCACCCCACCTGCAAGTTGGCTGGAGGGGCAGAAGAAGCTGGGAGGGGGCATATCTGGGACAGCCAGTCTCAACCGACCAAAGGGCTTCTCCAGACCATACGACTCATGCTCAGCATATACAGCTGGGGGAAGAAGGAGGAAAGGGGAATATTCAGAGCGATGGCGTTTGTCTTCCCAAGTCAACGTTACACATAATGGAGGCCTGCTCCCCTGGACATACCTGAACACCTGCCTGCCAATGGAAAGTGGTGAAGGAATCTGCCCTGCTTGTGGCAGAGGGGTTGGAACTGTGTGATCTTTGTGGTCCCTTCCAGCCCTGACAGATTCTGATACTGTTTTTGCAGAGGACTTAGTGGTGTTGTCTTGATGGTTGGACTCGATGATCTTGGAGGTCTCTTCCAACCTAAAGGATTCTATGATTCTATGAATTCCTTGGTTTTTTTTTTCCTTGTGCACATGACTTTTGCTTCACCTGTTAAACTGTCTTTACCTCAACCCACAAGGTTTCTCAGTTTTACCCTCCCAGTTCTCTCCTGCACCCCACCAGGAGGAGACCGAGTGAACGGTTGTGTGGGGCAGAGTTGCCGGCCAGGATTAAATCACATTACCACAATAACATGTCACTGCTTTGCTCCAGATGCCTTGGAGATGTTCTGCCAACATGAAGACTGACATGAGTTTGGGTACAGCCTCTGCCAATGATCTCTTCAGTTCTGTATCCTGAATTCAAGTGATCTTCTCACAGACCATAAATAATTCCTTAAACATGTCTCTAATAGCATGCAGGGGTTTGCGTTCAGTCACATTTCATGTACTGTGCATGTAGCTCCTTAAACATAACTCTCCAGTTATATTTAACATGTGGTACCTTAAACATAACAAAAAATGAAATAGGAGAACTGGAAAAACAAGCTCAGTCTTGCATGACTAATGACATTATGTGCCTTCAAGTATTTAAGTAGCTTAAGCAATCCATCCCTTTTCTTAGCTGAAAACAAAACCCAGCAATAAGAATTAAAAAAGAAAAAAAAAAAAAGAAAAAAAAAAGAGAGGTATTACTTTCAAAACCATGCATGGTTGGAAGCACCAAACAGTCAGTCTTCAGGCTTTTTTTCTTTTCCCACAGACCCAAGGAAATTTTCTGCCCTCTCCATATCCCAAAAAATCTCATAAAAAATAACAATTTGAAAAAAAATGTAGTTTCATAAAGGTGAAGAAGCCAAAAAAGGGAGAGCGAAGTGAACACAGGAGTTTGTGGTCTGCTCCACATATCAAACATGTGGATTTAGGTCCATTCATCTTTTCCTCATGATGGTCTTCTCCTTTGCCAGCTTGGCAAAGGGTCCACGCTTGGGACTAGTGATCACTGCAGTCCCTCAGAGCAGCAAGCAGTGTGACGTGTTGAGGAAAGAAAAGTGGTGAGGGGTAGAGAAATAATCATCCCAAAAGATGGATTTGTCACTCATGGGAACAGAGTCAGACAAAAATGCCCAGCACCTCTGTCAGTGGGAGGCTTTGGTTGAGGAGTGAGATTGAGCCAGAAGAAGCTGCAGGGCTCCATATGGTGAGGATACATTTGAGTGGATGGAGCAACATTCTGAAAACTGGAAAACAAGCTGTACAGGGTGAAGTGTAGCAGTGCTGAGGAGTATCGGAGAGCGGCAGAAGGAGCCCTGCTGTTCCTTCGATAGCTCAGCTGGCAGAGCGGAGGACTGTAGGCTCTGCTGCACGGCCATCCTTAGGTCGCTGGTTCAACTCCGGCTCGAAGGAGTGCCCTTTTGGCTCTGGCCCAGGCCCTGCAGCACCTTCTGCCTTTTGGCCTGCCTGGTGTCTGCCCCTGAAGGGCTGCCCGGCCTTGAGCTCTTGCCGGAGGTGAACAGGACCATGCCAGGCAGTTATGGGTGAACCCAAGGCAGGGGATGGTGGTATATCAGCACTGGGGTTGTCAGGGGTATCCTCCAGCAGGAAGATGGATGGTGGGACGAGAGAGCAAGGCTGATGGGAAGACAGGGCTTTAGGTGCAGGGCAGCCTGGGTCATGGGTCATGCCATTGGAGGGCAAAGGCCCTCAGGTACAGGCCATGGGCTGGGGAATTAGTTCAAGTGGTAGAGCACTTGCTTAGCATGTGGGAGGCAGTGGGATCAATGGCTGCATTTCTCCAATGCTTGTCTTCCCCTTGCCTGGACTTAAGGCCCAGAAGTGAGGGGGTTAAATCCCCAGCTCTGAATGAGAATTGGCAAATGGATGATGCCCATGATCAAGGCCCTAGTGATCGGTTTTCACTCAGGATCAGGCCAGCCTTGGGTGGGAACTGATGAGCAGATCACCACCAGGTGCCCCCACCTTCCACATTAACTTGGAGGTGGGGCAAGAAGCCACCTCTATAAGAACTGACTGTTTGCAGTGTAGTTGGGTGGTTTTTCCATATAGTGTATGTTCTGTGTGGGGTTCTGGCTATTGGAAGGGCTCCCTGACTCTTAATAGCAAGGGAAGCTCCCAGGATGGCAGGACAAGATGATGAGTCTCTCCTGGCAGTTACTATAAGACTTGGGACTGGACTGATCACCTGGGTCCTTCATTCTCCCATGGCACAGTTCCAGAGTCAGCTCAGTCCCTTCTGCAGACCCTATGCTGTAAGTGAATGTGTTGACTTGTTCTCTCCAGTGGTCTGGCATGTTGGATTGTTGGTGTATGATTTAGGAGTGGAGGGAGGACTTTGGTTGCTGGTTTGCCTCTTGATGATAATATCCTTCTTAGTTGCGCCAGTGGTCAGTGAAAGAGGCCCTTTGCTGGGACTCTCTGAGCTATGGAGACCATGAGACCTTGCAGTGCACTTGAATGCACAATCAAGGGTTTTTAACAGAGGAATTGATTTGCCTCCTCTTTGTTTAACAGTCATCAAATGTCATCCTCTGTACTGTGCTCAGCTTTGAGCTCCTGCACACAGGAAAGCCATCAATGAAATGGAACATCTAAAAAAAGCTACAGGAATGGAGAGAATTCTCTGTTTGAACAGACTGAGGACAGGGATCATGTTCTCCTTAGAGAAAGAGGATGAGATGCTTCTGGATGAGCTTCCAGATAGCATGAGGAAGATCCCAAGCAGAGGAATGGCTGTCTGTAGTCTGGTGCTGACCAGAAGGCAGCGGAGAGGGTAGTGAAACGGGCTCAAAGGATACACAATATGTCTTTTTGTCCTGAAGTGAGTCTAGCAGTAGAAGATGAGGTCCAAGGATTGTGCGTGTGCATGAATTGAGGGGTGAAAGTTTTGATGAAGGTGTTGTGATATTGGAGGTGAGTCTGTTTGAAGGAGAGGGTTGAACTGAAATCATTCTGGTGCATTGTGCATACGGAAGTGTTGGCTGAACGTGTGCTGGGCGAGGTACTGGGAAGGGCTCCATGGTTCCTTCGATAGCTCAGCTGGCAGAGCGGAGGACTGTAGGCTCTGCTGCACGGCCATCCTTAGGTCGCTGGTTCAACTCCGGCTCGAAGGAGTGCCCTTTTGGCTCTGGCCCAGGCCCTGCAGCACCTTCTGCCTTTTGGCCTGCCTGGTGTCTGCCCTTGAAGGGGCTGCCCGGCCTTGAGCTCTTGCCGGAGGTGAACAGGACCATGCCAGGCAGTTATGGGTGAACCCAGGGCAGGGGATGGTGGTATATCAGCACTGGGGTTGTCAGGGGTCTCCTCCAGCAGGAAGATGGATGGTGGGACGAGAGAGCAAGGCTGATGGGAAGACAGGGCTTTAGGTGCAGGGCAGCCTGGGTCATGGGTCATGCCATTGGAGGGCAGAGACCCTCAGGGACAGGCCATGGGCTGGGGAATTAGTTCAAGTGATAGAATGTTTGCTTAGCATGTAAGAGGCTAGTGGGATCAATGGCTGCGTTCTCTAATGGTTTTCTTCCCCTTGCGGGGACTTGAGGCCTTTTGCTGGTGGCCCTGTGTCCTCTGGGGCCTGTGTGGAGCCTCCTCTGGTTCCAGAGGCCAGGAGCATCCAGGGGTCTGTCAGAAGTAGCACAAGGCCATCGGCAGTAGGCTTAGAGGAGCCCTTACTCTGTGTTTGGCAGCTATTCAGTAACATTGAGAGTATGTACATGCTTTCTAACAAAATCCTAAATCGGCAATTTGTACTCTCTCTCAGAGAGGTGTTGATGTTTTATTTTCTAGTAAGTAGTGTATGAAACTGCATCTTTTCCAACTTCTGATGAAAACATAAAAAATACGGTGTCTTTCTGCGTATTACTTCACTGTCAGACTGGAAATCAGAAATCAAAGTACAGTTTGAGCATTGTTCTGCAAAGAAAGAGAGTTCTAAAGATTATTTTTGTAGGATATTGAAGATAAACAGAACTCCTTTGAAAATCTGCTGATTAGAAGCCTGCTAGCTTTACTCTTTGATAAATTAGATTGTGCCAAACTCTAAATAAAACCACAAAGGTTTACCTCTGTCATGTTTATTAACAAGTAAATTTTGCCCTGGGCTGCAGTAGTATGATTAATACTGACTTAATAATGGCAGGAAACTCAGAATCAGGTAGTGCTGGTTTTATACCTTGTACTAAAGAATACCAGTTCAGCAGCAGATTTTTGGATTAGCATAAAATTAAAAGATAATTAAAGCAAATCCGTGAGACTGACTCATCATTTTATCTTGCAAATATTTACAGCTACTCTATTAAAAGTGAATCCCTCTGACATTTCCACTTTAGTCAGAAGCAGCCTTTTTTTCACTATAATTACTAATACAGATGGATAGAGCACCACTGTCAGTTTTAACACAGATCACTGTGTAAATCATCTGTCTTCATGTTCAGCATTAAATAAAGTTAATTTCATTCTACATTTTTCCATGACAACTCTCTCCTTTAGGGATTAAAGAAGGCCTTCTTTCCAGAGATTTAAATGTAAAAGCAACAGGAAAACAAGAGGTTTAATACAGAAGATGGTTTCTGCAGCCAGGCTGTACTACAGGGACACAAAAGGTGCAAGTCATGAGTGAATTTGATGCTGTAGTAAGTTTATCCCCCAGTGGTATAGTTATGCAAGATAACAGAACCATGAGATGTCAACAGTTTCCCTTCTGCTGTGTGAAGAGGTTGAGCACTCACAGCTTCTCCCACCTCCATTAAATATATGCTTTTAGGAACAGAAAGGGGCAGAGATGCAGTTTGTTCAAAACCACAGAGGACAGAGTCCCAGCAAAATTCAAGTTAATAGTGATGCAAGTAGATCTATTTCATAACCCCCTTTTCAGATCAAATATACTCTTACATTTGATAGGAAAAGAAAGCTGTCTTGAAGTTTGAATGACAATACAAGGTGACCAATAACACCCAGAATGATGCCGTAATGGAAGCTTTACTCTATTTATTAAACCTGCAAGCACATGTCTGGCATATTCTGATGTCAAGAACATCTACTCCACACATGTACAGTTTTTTTCTCTTTCAATAGCAGCAGAACAGATTTAAGAGCAAAACAACCCATAAAATCTTCTAGTCTTACTTTTAGGTCTTTTTACATTTCAACAATAAAATTCTTTTCACATTTTCATGAGTTGTGTTTGAGTAAAACTTATCTTCTTTTTCAGTAGAGAATCTACCATTTCTTGTGGCAGTATTTTTCAGTGGTTTGTTCCACTCACTGTTAAAACCCTGTGCCTCTTTTTGAGCTTGAATTGCTTTTAGATTCCAAGCACTGGTTGTGGTTATGTTTGCCTTCATGAAGTCAAAAACCCTCTCACATCCAGAATTTTTCACCTTCAAAGATATTTGACCCTATAATCAAATAATCTATCTGTCATCTTCTTTATAACAAGATAAACTGATCAAGCTCCTTATGTCTTTTGCTCTAGCTCCTGAATTGTTGTGACAGCACTTCCCTGCCTTGGCTTTACTTTTCAACAGACTTCAGGGAAAGATGTTAACACAAGAACTGGGGGCAGTGTTCAAAGACTGCACTTTGCAAGCATAGTCTGCAATATTTTATCCTAACAGCCTCACCTCTCGTGCAGCTAGACTAAAGCATTTTAGATGAAGCACACTGCTTGCTTGTGGGATGAAATCAATAGATTTACATTGCATCATCTCTGATTCTTTTCAGGCTCATGGTGGGAAAAAAAAGAATTGTAATAATAAATGTCCATAGTGCAGGTAACTCAAAAATGAAAAGTTTTACCATCATAATTATGCTAGGCACACAAGCATTTTTAGACGTGTTGCAAAGCATATTTTACATACCTGTAGGACTTCTTGATCTCATCATGTGTTGCTCCCTTCTCCAGGGCCAGGATTTCATATAATGCCTCCCCTGATGTCGACAAAGCACGTTGCCTTTGTTCAGTCATGTTAGCAGCACATTACCAAACCTGTAACTGTAGAACAGGATTTAAAATAGCAGGGACTGCACATACATATGGAGAGTATTTCTTAGTGTTTATTTTAATAGATTTTAATCAGGTAGTGAAAGAAAAAAAAATACATGAAAGTGAAACTGGAATGAAGTCTCCCCTAAATTATCCTCCATCCCTTAAAATATTTTACAACTGTTTAAGAAAATGGAAAAGCAAAAACAAGAATGGAAGCTCATGTGTTAGGTATCACTGTTCATATTAAAGGCGTGATGTTGCTCTCACTGAAATGAACAGCCAAATTTCCTACAGCATTAATGCCTGCACATAGTATTTCCCCTGAGTTTTACTTCTGTTTGTTTACATCTGTCTTTTCTAGGTCTTAGAAGAATAATTCTACTATTTGCTAAGGCTACTAGCTTCTTGTAGTGGGGTAAGGGCTTTGTACCTCCGAGTATAACCTAAGGCAACACAGCAGTGAATTTATGCTTTCTCAACACGAGGGCTCAGATTCAGCCTAACCAATTTTAGGTGCCTAATTTGAGTGATTAAGTTTGAAGCTTAGTCAGACTAGACTCTTTATACTGTTAACAGACAGAGATACACACTTGGAGGACAACTGACCAAGCACTTTCTCCCTATCACCTCTACAGCATGCTCAGGATGACTGAACCCCAACTCATGCCTGAGGAGAGGTGGAGTGACTCTGGACCTAGGCTAGAGACTAGATACCAAGAATTGGCCTCAGTATTGTAAAACTAACCACTTACTGCAGGGGAAATACTGACATCAGTCAAAGTCCTGTCTTATTTGCGATACAAGACTTTGGGCTGAAATCATCAGCTTGCAGTAAATTTAACAAGATGCTTCTACAGGATAGTGCAAATAAAGGCCAAGCACGGGCTGACAGATTTAGTGCACTTCAGATCCATCATTCCCTCCTCCTTTCATCACAGAGGCAAAGCAGAAAAACACACGATCCTCCACTGAGTGGCTCTACTACCTCCATAGTCAATCCTTCATAGTTAACTATGAATCATAGTTCATAGTTAATCTTTCTGGATTTGAAGAACCCAACATTTTTAAACCAGAGCTAGCTAATGCCAGGCAATGACATAAACTCATATAAACCAGAATTTAAAACAACAGTTATAGATACCTATCATTCATAAGGGAAAGCTGCAGCTCTTTGATGGTAGACTTGTCACAACAACACACTCACCGCAACCTCTTTCTTTCTTTGTTGCACCCTTCTCCAAATGTTGAGAAGTGATCACAGGAAAAGGCTAAAAGTGAGCTGGAACTCCAGCCATAAAAAAATCTTCAGAGAATTTCTTTTGTTAGATAAGACTACACACGCTGCTATTTCACCCTTCTCATTGCTGAGCTAGAAACATGATCTTTCCATTACTCATACATTATTTACTTGGCCACATTTTGGTTCAGAATCAGTCATGTAACACTTTTAAGCTCTTCAGCTTCATTTAATACCAAAAAGAAAATCAAATACCTTTAAGTATTAGAAATAGAAACAGAAATATAATCCGCTGGGTAATTCTGGCATATAGTATCTGATTTACTAAAAGACCTAAATTTATTAATATTTACTTAGTTTTCTTTTTCTAGTAAGCTAACATACAATTTAGGGTCTTGTGATCTGTTGAAAAAAAAAAAAAATTCCTTTCTATTTTTCTGTTGTACACAAACCATCAACTAAATGGACTGAACTTTTGTTTTTAAATTAACAGTAAAAATGAAATTATATGTATGTGCATCTAGATATTGCTTTACCATCTGCAGCAGTTACAATGCTACTTGTTAAGAATGGTATGTCCAGGGAACATTTAACATAATCCTGAGATCTATTCTGACCGCAGTGGAGTCACGTGAGGCACATCAAGCCTGTTAATGCACAAGATAATGGTGGGCAGCCATGTAAAGTCACAGATACACAGCATTATTTTAAAATTCTGTCACTTAGTGATTATTAGCTAAATGGCAAACCTGAAAAATAAAACAAAATTAAAGCAATGATGGATTTTACTCTGAAGAACTAAAAATTAATGTAATTTGTACTTTCTCATAAAATAACTTTAAGAACCTAGACAGCTATGGAAATTTAAACTCACTAGCCTATTTAGCCTTCCAGGGATTAATCACCTTGAATGTCTAGCTACTCAAAATTATTTCTTACTTATTTAAAGCAGACCTATAAAATACTAGAAGTACAATGAGATGACACTTTTTGAGAAAAAGTTATGTTCTCTTTATTAAGGAAGATATGACAATTACAATTTTAGTACTAGACACATTCCTGATGGCTGAAATTACAACAGAATCTTATTTTCAAGCTATGTATTTTTGTTCCACTAGAACAGAGTCAAGAAAATATTGTTTCCTTCCTTGAATGACAATAAAATATATTAAAAGGCAATCCAAATTCTGATAACAATAGCATATCCCCTAAGAGAACAGGACCACGGTTAACTTCAGCTGTTTCTGCACAAATTTTATACTATCCAAGATTAATGATCTTATATAGGGGTTGTAATAATATACCTTTTTTTCCCCTTACAATACCCATATTTCATTTGGATTTGTGCTGAAAAATAAGGTAAGGTGAGTCAAATAACATACCTGCTTCCTGTGATGGAACACAGCCTAGCATGTATAAACTCACAACATTATCAGTTCAGTATCTTGATGTCTTTTATGCCAATATAATCCAAAAGGAAAGAAGCAAGAGCCACCCGAAGCCCTGCTCCACAGAAAGTGGCTGCTGCTTTTCGTCCTTTGCAATCAAGGTTAGGGAGGTCAGTGGAGTCTGATTACTTGTTTGTTTGTCCAGTATCCAATTGGTTATCTCTCAGGAAGATCTATGAAAGAATGAATAAAACATTCATAAGCTTAAAGGCTGATCCACCTGAGAGTTAATGACACAAAAAATTATGGGACGACTGTGTTTTAGTTAGTCGTTCTTCTGTGCTTTACTCTTGATCGAGTCTTGAGTTTGTCTTTTTTTTTTCCATGCAAATATATTAGACTTCTTTAAAGTACAACAGTCTTCCTCTAAAGTTCACTTTGTTGAGACCAGCTATGGCTTATGTTTATTATATACTGTCTTCCAGAACAGAATCATAGAATCATAGAATCATAGGGGTTGGAAGGGACCTCGAAAGATCATCTAGTCCAACCCCCCCTGCCAGAACAGAACACGATTAACTGAAGAGGTTCCTTTAGGACTCCTTCTGAGTAGCTGTAAATTTTTATATCAAAACAGAAGATGTAGAGTGTCTTCTCTTATTCTGATGGAGCTTCTCCTCTAAATTTATACCACGAAAAATTCTGGAGAGCCATTCCTTTCCATTTGGAACAGAGAAGACTGTAAATGCCAAATGACATAAAAAGAATGGCTCTTGGTATGTCATCCTTGGAACCAAATAATATAATCCTTTGAACTCAAAAAGTTCATTTCCCAGCTCAACCAATTCCAAATTATATGACTTCGTAGTGGGCTGACCGTGGCTGGCTGCCAGACCCCTATACAGCTGCTCTCTCACTCCCCTCCTCAACAAAGCAGGAGAATAAAATCAGGTGAAAAGCTCACAGATGAAGATGAAGCTGAGATCGCTTACCAACTACTGTCATGAACAAAACAGACTCCACTTGGGTAAAATTAATTTAATTTATTGCCAATGAAAATAGATTTGGAGGGTGAGAAACAAAAATTAAACTGACGCCTTCCTCTCACCGCTCTGTTTCTAGGCTCAAATTCAGTCCTTCATTCCCAACTCATCTCTCTCCCACCCCTGAGCAGCGCAGGCGGACAGGGAATGGTGGGTTGTGGTGGTTTCATAACAGCTCCTCTCTGCTGCTCCTTCCTCCTCACGCTTTTCTCCTGCTCCAGAATGGGTCCTTCCCACAGGCTGCTGCAGTCCTTCACAAACTGCTCCCTAGGCCACGTTTCCTGTCAGGAGAACCTGCTCTGTCTGGGCTCCTCTCTATGGAACACAGTTCCTTCAGGAAATATCTCCTGTGACATGGGGTGGATGGCCTGCAGCAAAACACTTGCTCCACCATGGACTTCTCCATGAGCTGCAGGGGAGTCTCTGCTCTGGTGCCTGGATGGCCTCCTCCTCCTCCTCCTTCTATGGCCTTGGTCTGCACAAGGCTGTTTCTCACAATTTTTGCTCACTCCTCACTGCCATGCAGTGTTTTGATATTTCTTAAATATATTTTTCCAGAGGTGCCACCAGCTTGGCTGATGGATGCTTTTTAATGTGAAGCATGTGATACTAAAGTTTCTCATATTCTTAGGTGTATTCTTTAACTTCAAACATTCCCTCAAGTTTCAGCTTTGGATGGGGGAGAGGGAAGATACATTACAACCTAAAGTGTGAGCGTTTTTCATAGTTATGAGAAGTCAAAACAGCATGGCACCCTCACAGGAAAGAAGCCTGTCCTTCTGCTCAGATGGAACATCCTGAATTCCAGTTAGTGGCTGTTGCCCCTTGTCCTGTCACTGGGCACCACTGACAAGAGCCTGGCCCCAGCCTCTTGCCCCTGTGGGCGCTTTAGCTCTCGATCAGCATTGATCAGATCCTGTCTCAGTCTTCTCTTCTCCAGGCTCAACAGCCCCAGGGCTCTCAGCCTTTCCTCAGCACAGAGATGCCCCAGTCCCCTCAGCACCTTCGTTGTCCCCTAATCATCTCCAGGGCTCTATGAACACAATAAACCAGATTATTCAATCAGCTTGCTTGATCTTAGTCTTTGAAATGTCTATCTTTTTACAAAACAAAACGTGCACTTTTTAATGGTAAAAAGAAATTAAGAGGGAAAAATATAAACAGAAGAAAATAAAATCACTCTCAGGTTACCCAAATCCTCTGTACTTATGTACGACCTCTTATGAAGAAAACCAGGGGTGTTGTGCAACCCTGTCGCCCAGCCAGCCCTGCGGTTCCGTGTGGATACAGCTCCCTCTGGTGTGCTGAGCT